TTAAGGTTTATGCATTCAGCCTTCTTTATTGTGCAGATGCATTGGGACAATTTTTAATCATACAAAGTAACTTAAAGAATTAAATGCATCTTAACTTAGTAGTGCTTCTCTGGTAATTTGCATTTATGTATCCTGCACAATTTGTCCAACAACCTGTATACTACAAGTACATAGTCCTTGAACCAAGGGTGGGCAATTATTTGGCCCCAAGGGCCACATAAGGAGTTTTGTTGAGCTGTTGCAGGCTGGGCCCACACTACCCACCACCGCAAAAACTTACCAAAACTCCCTATGGGGCTTTGGACGGGCAGGGAGCTGTGTTCAGGAGCAGCTTAGGCAGGCAAGGCCAATCCACTTCCTGCACACCCTGTCCTGCTCCCCTCGCGTCCGGCGGGAGCCACCCACCTGGAGCAGTGTAGCAGGGGCAGGAACAAGAGGAGGAGCCACTGCTGCAGGTGAGGGGAGCAGAGCAGTACCCAGCTGGCTGCAGCCACACCAGGAACAGCCCCTCCAGAAGCTGTGCACATTGGCTGGGCCCTGGGCCGGCAAGGCTGTTCTGCTCCCCTAGCCTCCAGTGGTGGCTCCTCCTTCTGCTGCCCCTGGTGTGCTGCTCTGGGTGGGTGGGAGGGAAGTTTCAGCCAGGCGGTGCCTGCCCCAGCACATGGGACTCCAACTCTAGCTCCCGGCAGGCAAGTGGGGAAGCAGCTTCAGCTGGGTGGCTTCCGTTGGAGGTGAGGAAAGCAGAGCAGCCCCAGGAACAGCCCTGCCAGAAGCTGTACACAGTGATCAGGGCCCGGGCTGGCAGGAGCATGCCAAGTGCTGCAGCGGTAGCCACAGGCCAGATCCAGTCAGTTGGTAGGCTGTATTTTTCCACACCTGCCTTAAGCACTATAGGGGTAGCAGCTGCACTGAGTACTAGTGAGAAACTGATGGTCTATATTAGGTTCTTTAGCTCATAAATTGGTGCTAAAAAGAGAGTGTACTTTATAGGGCTGTTAACTCCTTGTCTATGAAAGATGTATTTGGATTACTAAATTTTATATAATTTTTTGAGCAGATTCCTAACTTTCACTGGCATTATGGCACAGGGGAAGCACACAACAATTAAAAGAATATGCAGGAGTTGCATGTGTAACTAAGTGAATAGGAAAATTTGTTAATTCTTGTCAGAATCAATAAGTCATGGTCTAAATAAAATTTTGTGTCATATGTACAGGGGGTGTTAAGCCTAATTCTGTAGAGTCATTTCAGTCAGCCTGTGGGGCTCCCAGAGGGACCAGGAATTTGGGGGCAGGACTAGGAAGGGTGGGGGAATTGCCACCAAGTTCCCAGCTTCAGAACCCTAATGGGCTCATGTTGACGGCAGGAGGTGGAGGGTCAACCAATAGTTGTATGCATTTTCCCCCCTCCCCCATCATCATCGCCACCACTGCTCACCCATCTACTCTTGGGCACATCCACCTGTGCATTAATGTGCTTTAGTTAATGCTTATTAAATCTAGTACCCTTGAGTGCCTATACACATGTGGCGAAGCTGCTCCAATGCATGGTAGTTACTGCACTCCAACAAACTCCAGTGTCTCATGTATCAGCGTCCCCACACTGAAAAAATGGTGGCAGGAGTGCTTTAACTAAAGCTTGTTTGAGCTTTAGTTAAAGCACTCCTGCCGCCATTTTTCAGTGTGAGGACACTGATACATGAGGTGCTCTGGGCACTTTAATTAGAGTGACTCTTGGAACTGCTCTAATTAAAGCGCACACACCCCCCTCACATACACTCCCAGAGCACTTGTATAAATGCCCAAGGGGTGCATCTACATGTGCATTTTAATGTGCATTAAAGAGTCACATAAAAACCATGCTTTTTACTTAATGCACATTAAAATAGGTTAATGCACATTTAGCATCACTTAAAAAGCATACACTTTAGTTAATGCACATTAAGACAAGCTAATTTTCCTGCACATTTTCCTAGTATCTCAGAATGGACTGAGTCCAGTTCTGGCCTGAGAGGCTCATTGCAGGCTAGATCTGGCCTACAAGAAGCCCTGTGGTCTGGATCTGGTCTGAGGTTGCAGGTGATTTTGATACCCCCGATATACATACGTTGAAACAGTTATGATAATGCAGTTAAAAATCAGAAAATGCTAAAAAATACAGACTATTTTCTCAACCTAATTTTTTATGTGCAAGTGTGTATTAAGTTCCTATTTCAGTAAGATAGAGTTTTCCTGAATGTGTTATCGCGCATTGCTGTGGTGGAAATGTAAAAATACAGAATGTAGTGGATGTGTCATTGGCATGAGGAGGAAGAGGATTAATTTCCATGACTGTAGTGTGTAGAAGCCCTAATCGTGGATGAGGATTCCACTGTGCGTGACACTATACATGCACAGAGCAAAAGCGATCTCTGCCCCCCTGCCGCCCCCCCCCCCCC